GTGCACATACCCAAGATCCCAGGAGAATGGAGAAGGGATTGCTCTGTGATCATTCCCCCACCCCGGGGAGTGATTTCCTTTCTGTCTCTCTTTCTCTGTCTCTCTGGCGAACGCATGTACCCTATAGCAAAAATCTTCCTTAAAGAAATCCCAAATAAACAAAGAATTGCCCATTGTGGGGCCAGCAGGTGGTGTAGTGGTTAAGGCACTGGGCTCCCACATTGCTGACTATGGTTTGAGTCCTGGACCTGGCGGCTGGCTTTTTCTTTCTTGCTCACTTGCTCTCTCACACATGTCCTATAGCAAAATTTTAAAAAATAAATAAAATAAAGAATTTTTTTTAAAGAAGAAGAGGAGGAGGAAGAGGAGCCCAGTGAACTCTGATGCCATTGGGGACCTCCTGGATTTCGGGAAGCTACATGTTTGGGTGTCTTCGCTATACATTATGGGCAAAGGCTGGGAGAGGTCCTGAGACAGGAAGCCAAGAGCCTGGTTACCCTAGAGGGTTGGGAAGCAATGCTTTTCTGTCCCGGCTGCCTCTGGGGTTCAGGCCAGCCCTGCCCTCCCCTTTCCTTGCTCACATAGGCAGCAGGCACCCTCCCCAGGTGCCCTTCCTCCTCCTCACAGTGGCTTTGGGCAGGACTCTCTCCAGGGCCCCTCTCCCTGTTCGTGCTGCCTCTAAGGTAGATACATGAGTTGTTTTGTTTTGAGGTTTTAGTTTTGGTTTTGGTTTTGGAGAGTTTTGTTGTTGTTGTTGTTATAGAGCGCATGCACTCGCCAGAGAGACAGAAAGCGAGAGATCACCCCCCCCCCCAGGGAGGATAGGCACGCCACTATCCCTTCTCCTCCATTTTCCTCTGAGGATCTTGGGCACGCACGCACACGCGCCCAGCGTGAGTTTAAACCACCGGGTCTGGGACTTGAACAATGGTCGATTGGCTGTATGGGAGTCTAGCGACATAGCCATTACACCAACCAACTGCTGGTTCCTTGTTTTGAAAAGACACATCAAACCTTTGAGTTACAGGGGCCTCCTTGTAGGGATGGTACTGGGAAGCCCGCTCTGTCTTAATTCTCTCCGGTATTGGGCTGTTCAAAACTGACCACTGCCTTCTGACTCAGCCTCCCTACCTGCCGTGAGGAGGCGGTTTCTGGGCCCTCTCCCTTGGCTACACCAGACTACAGGGATGATGTAGATCATGTCAGGCGAGGGGTCTCTTTGTTTGCCAGAGAATGCGTACGCTGGCGGAGAGGCAGAGAGGGAGAAAGCCTCCCAGCAGGCCCTCATCCAGTCCTCCATCCTGTGGGGACTTTGGACATGTATTCACATGTGCCTGGCCTGGTTTTCAAGCACCAGGACCAGGATTCGAACCATGCCATTGGCCCTATGAGATCTACTACCTTAACCACCCCAGGCCACAAGATTAAGGTTTTATGGACTCTCCACCAATCACCTGAGCCATCGGTGGACCCAGGTCAGTTTCTGCTTCAGAGGAAGGTGCACCTCCTCAGAGATCCCCAGAGACCTGTGGCTCCCTGCAGGAGAGTGTTCCAAGGCCCTTCGGGTCAGGAGGGACCCTGTGTCCTTTCAGGGGAAGAGAGCACCTTCCACCAGGACCCCTGCCTTTAGGGAGACCTTTGGTTCCTGTTGTGGTTGGCGATGGGCCTGGGGCTTCTCTGCTGGCCCACGGCGGTGTCAGTGTGCAGGCCTCAGACGAGGGGGAGGGTGGAGGAGCATGCTGCCCAGTCCTGTTGCCTGGCACCGGCCAGCTTCCCAGTGTGTCCCCAGGGGATCTGGAGTCCACGGGTGTGCCCCACACTATCAGGGTACCAGCCACACTCCCCAGGTAGCAGGTGCTGCCCTGAGCCACCCCTTTCCTCCCCTCTGGCCTTGATGCTGGTTCCCTGTCACCGGCCAGATGCTGCTCCTCCTGCTTACCAGCACTTCCTCCCAGAAGCCTTCCCTGATACGCTCCTTTTCTGCAGCCTCACTGGATTGGGTGCCCCAGCTCTGCCTTCCTAGGGCCTCCTATACCTCCCCATGTTCTAACTCGTGACGGGCAGGGGATGCGTCTCCTGTCCCCTGCCATATCCCCAGAGGTCAGCATAGTGTCTGGTGCACCGTGGGTGCTTGGATGTGTGGTGTTGCTGAGTTAATATTACAGTCGGATCTGCAAATCCCGCATGCACTGGCAGAGTGGTTCCCGGGCTCAGCTGGGTGGGACGGGGCATCCTAGGCATGCCAGGATGCCCAGAGGACAGGGAGGTGGGGCACTGTGGAGGGGTCTCTGACATCTGCAGAGGTCTCAGACCTTTCCCTGCCTGGGCTGGCTTGATTTTTAGCCTGTCTGTGCTCAGCCCTGACCTGGGGATCACAGGCAGCGTCTCCCACTCTGCCTCACACATTGGGTGGAGGGAGCAGGGGGTGGGAGGGACCCTCCTTTCACTTCTAGCCAGACCTACCTCCTTGGTGTTTTCCTGGAAGTCTGGGAGAGGCAGGGGACCCTCCCCGGCTCCAGCATGTGTGTGTGTCACTTGGATCGTGCTGGGGCTTGGGTACTGTCGGGGGCAAAGGCCGTGAGGAGGGCCCGTGGAGGAGAGGGCTGAGGGGGGGAGAGTCATGAGTAGAGCAGTCACCGCCGGGACTTGAACTCAACGTCCTGGGAGCCAGAGGGGAGTGTGTGGTGGGCCGAGGCGCCGCACCTGGCCCGGGGTTATAGCAGGACACGTGGGGACTCGGGTCCACCCTGCCACACTCGCCCACGAGCCGTGTCTCAGGCCTCAGCACGTGTGTTCCTGGAGAGGAGGCTTTCCCGTCCGAGTCCTTGGCAGCCCTCGGGCATCTCTTCTGCCGCCTGGTCACCTGACAGCTGGCACGCGGAGCCCAGCTTCGGGCAGGCTGTTACGAGCGGGTCTGCTTGCTCAGGGAGCATTTCACGAGGGTGGGAACGAGCGACAAGCCTTGGTGACACGCCTGTCGGGCGTCTGCACTCGGTGGTCTGTCTTAGTATTTCATGGCTGGTGTGACCTGGCTCTCCAGGACTTGTGGTGGTGGTCCTCCCTTCTGCTCAAGGAAAGCCGGCCTGGGCTTGACGGGGTCGTAGAAGCCTCGGTACTCCCGAGTATGATGATGCGGAAGGCTCCAGAAAGCAGCCGCCCACCTGCTAGGGTGGGGCAGGGCTTGCGTGCGTGGCCACCCTGTCACCTCCATACCAGGTGCAGCTCCAGAGCCAGGCTGGGCGAACCTGCAGCGTGTCACCCTATGACCTTTCTTTAGGCAGGTGGTGGAGCTGACGTTGCAGTCAGTGCCGTGGTCAGGGTAGTCGGGCTCCCAGCCCTGCTGTCAGCAGGGGTCTCCCATCAGCCTGTCCTGTGGGTCCTGTTCTGGGGAGAACCCTGCAGGCCCCCCTCTCTGTGCCGTGCACGTCCCACTCACCATGGGACAGCTCCCTGAGCACCCGCTGTGCGTGAGGCCGTGGCTGGCCCCGAGGTTACGACAGTGAACGGAACAGACTAGGCCCACTCTTGCGGAGCCGTGTTCTGGAGTACCAGCAGATACTCCCCTCAGGGTGCTCCAGGGCTCCCTGCACCAGGCCACCCCCGGTGCAAATGCCCCCTTCCCTTTGAGTCCGGTGTATTACCTAGAAGCCTCTGCCCTCCACTCCCTGTTCCCCGCTGTTCCCGCAGTGTCTGTCTCAGAACGAGGGCTTAATACATATTTATGTGATTGCGTGGCAGCTGGTGTTGTGTGTGTGGAAAGTGCAGAGGGGCCCACAAGGGGTTCTGCATGGCACGTGCTGGGCACAGGGCTGTCTCAGGGGCCACGTCTGCCACCCAGCCTCCCTCCCAGAGCCTCGGTGTGACCCAGGGCCGGATAGAACCAGAGGCATTCCTAGGAGGGACGCAGTAGGGCAGCAGTGGTGTGCAGACGGGAGTTTCCAGAAGGAGAAGTGTGTGCAGGAGGAAAGGGTGGGCACGGACATAGAAGGCGAACGGGCCCCTGGGCAGAGGGACTCGGCCACGCAGTGTGCACAGAGGCTGCAGACTGGTCACCCTTTGGCCGCGAGAAGACACCATGACAGCCACATTGCCTTCCTGCGTGTGAAGATCAGGAGGTGCCACGTGAAGATCTGGCTTCTCTGAGCCATGTTCCTGCAAGACCAGAGCTGACAGCACTGAGTGGTGGCCGAGCACGCCTTCCACTGAGCCACACTCCCCGGGGCGCACACACACACACACACACACACACACACACACACACACACCCGTCATTTCCGTGGCTGCTCTGCGAGTCCCGGCAGCCCTTACCGGAGCGGGCTTAGGGAGGGGGCGC